TCTCGAGAAAACACACCTGCAGGAGCGCGTGGTGCAAGTTGTAAAAGCGATCAAGCAAACAAGCGAGATCAGAGTCATCATATAGCTGAGCCTGCCTGGCTGAGTCGTGAGGCTGGGTCTTTCCACCAAATAGCTAATGGGGACAGGACTCTTTCTTTCAGGTCTTCATAGCTTGGATCTTCTGCTGGTCCTCCGAATCCATCCGTCAAACCGACCCTTCGGTCCACAGGAGGAGTTTCCGGACTGCAAGGCAGGGGACGAAAGTGCAATGCTGCGGCACTCTTTGCGGAACGTGGACATCTTGCGGCACTGCAAATTGTCCTGCTCGTTTTCCTTTGGATTGGCCATGATTAGCCCATGCCCATATTCCATCTGCCGTACTTGGTCTACTTGAGGATGACTGTACTATCCTACTAGTAGGGGTCGCATGCACAGATTCATGGTCGCTCAGATTCTACATTGGATGGTTGGCCGCCCCACCGGATGTTATGCTTTGGAAGGTGTAAGGTAAGACATCTACGACCAGCCGGCATATTGGAAGTTTTCTTGGCACTCAGGTCCAGATCGAGGGGTCGATCATGCTCCCCTGTATCTCCCCAAAGTTGCTGATCCAACAACTTTTGATGAAGTCCACGACCACGGTCTCCAATTTGATTTTTTGGTTCAGGTGCTACATGTTGTTCCATATCAGCTTCATGCTTGAACCGTGCATGAAACCCGTGTTGTATGTCCTGTTGTCCACAGTGAATGTCACACGCAATTTGTAACCCTTCACCTGGATTGCAGGAATATCCTCAGTATTGTTCTTGCTCTTTCTAATACTCAACCACCGGGGGGTGTCCAGCTGACTTCCCATGCTCAACACGAGGAGGCGGCCCAGCTGGCCCAAAGCTTGGCATCCAAGGCCTCCGGAACGCTCGCGTCGTCGGTGGAACGTCGGTGGTGTGAACACCTGGGACCTGGTCTTAGCCTTTGTTGTTTTTGGTTCGCGGCATTGGTCGATGAAACATCTGAAAAAAAAACATACTGTCGCGAACTCTTTTTCACTTATGCTACTGTAGATGTTCAAGGTGTGGAAGACGAGTGCTGAATATTGGGGGCGGTCCCAGAAGTTGCTAAACGTTCCTCTCTGCACTTGACAAGAAGAACAGGTATTTACAATTTGGACTTTGACTTCATCCAAGGTACTAGACCGCGCTGGCACTCCTTCGACACATTTCTTTTCCTTGTAGACCTGCCTCGGCAATGACCGTGCAGGAGACGTGTGGTGCTCGTGTTGATTTTGTTCAATCGAATTAACGGAATTCGCTGCTCCCTCGCTTGTGAGACCTCCGACCTTTTTGCTTGTTGCGTTTGCAAAGCACATTGAGAGTCTTTTAACATCTAATAACATCTAATTACTGTAAGATACTGTAAGTGTTCCAAAGTGTTACATAAACCTTGTGAGGGTTCACGAATGTTCACGGTTACTTTTGACATCCTTGAACCTGATGTGTTTAAGGTTCTTTCAACCAATTCCAACGAGAACGTCCCGCGTACAAATGTGGCAAGGAACTTGTGGAAGTGTGCAATTGATAAGTACATGCTTTAGGTTTGACCAACTTATTATTGTAAAATCGTCGTTGTCTCAACCACGGGTCCTTATTCCAGAAGTTTCTGATCAGTCAGATATTGCCCCAAAACCCCTAGCGCATCCTAGCGCTTTTTTGTGGCCCGTTGTATCCAGGGTCCTGGGGGATGTTCGATATTCACGATC